TATTACCACCACAAAAATCAAAACTTCCACAAGGGGAAGAAGAGAGACAAAGAAAACCCTAAACGAGACCATCACTGGCTGCTTTATCTATTTCTTATAGACATTAATGGAGCCTTCGTTTCCTTGCATAACATAATAAATATATATATATATTTCTCGTGATGGAAGACAAATTTCATTAGGATGGTCCTATAGGGATAAATTTTTTATCACATCTTTTTATATAACTTTTACATGTCATTTTAAATGAGTGAATGGATTCAATATCATGGGTTTCATATGAATTAAAAGAACCAATCATTTTAATGACACGTCAAATTATATAAAAAAGTGAAATAAAAATATTATACAAAAATCATTTTCCATTTCATTAATATTACCAGCAACAAAATAGAAGATTGATAGCCAGGAAAGCGAAGAATGACTTGACTATGTCACCAATGCCATTTAGTAGCTCGTCAAGATTTAGAGTATGTTTGGTGAAACTTGTAAGTGTTTCAGTTTTTTTGATACTATTCATATTTCATAAATTTAAATTTTTATTGAAGAGAAAATTTAAAGTTGCTTTTAGAAAGAGTAAAAAGTAAGTAAAAAGAAAGTTTACAAAAAACAAAAGTTTGAAACTTTTTAAAATTTACTATTTAAGGTCTTTTTAAGATTAAAAAAATTAAAAAATATAAACTTTTAAGAGAAAAATTTAAATTTATAAAATATAAATAGTATAAAAAAAATTAAAGCACTTAGACGCTAAACCAAACATGCCCTTATAGTAAAACGGTTTAGTACCAAAATAAGTAGTTTGGAAAAAAATCCCGAAAACCCCACACTACCATAAACTTAAACATATTTAAATAAAATACTCTCCCAATTTAATTTTAGTAGACTTAGTTTTTTTTTTTAATTTTCAATAAATTAAAGATATAATAATTTATTAATTTCATTTTTATCCCTAGTTAATTACCATTTAAATAAGAATTTTTATTTAATACTTCCTCTGTTCAATTTTAGTAAACTTAGTTTTTTTATCCAATATAATAGCGATGTAACAATTTATTAAGAAAATTTTATATTTATCACCAATTAAGTATTACTTAAATAAGATTTTTTTATTTAATATAAATATAGAGGTTTAATCATCTTTAAAAAAATATAAATAAACATATTAAATGATATCCTAAAAAGAAAAAGTCAACAATTAAATTTAAACGCTTCAAATTAAAAATTAGGTCTAAAGTTGAATAGAGAGAGTATATATTGTAATTATTTTTTAAAAATAAAAATAAAATTAAAATTAAAATAAGAGTATTAAATAACAACTAAAAAAATAAATAACTAAATTAAAAACATCTAAAATTAAAAATTTACTAGAATTAAACGTAAGAGAATTAAACGTAAGAAAATTAAACGTAAGAAGTACTAAAAGAAAACCAGAACTGTTAGAGCTCTTTTATAAAAGGAAATATAATTATTTTTTATAGTAGTTACTAATTTCTCTCCCCCTTTACTAAATCCATTGCCATAAAAACAAAATAAATCCAATTTGCATTCAACTCCTGATTTTTCAGGATCATATCAATTCCAAAAAATTCCAACTTCAGCTAATCAAATCCCAGAAAATCAGAGCCAATCCAATCCACCGACAGTAGCCACCCAAGCTTCGTTGCTGCCAAAAAGATTGGGACATTCGCCCGCCGCCACTCTCCCTCCAAGCCAACCAAGATCTATTCTAACAACCCATCAGGCAGCTGCGACATACTGGCAATACTTCCACTTACCAAAGAGGGAAACTCTCACCTGAGCTCAGTTTATCAAAAAAAAAAATGTTTTTACTAAAAGGTAATTAAAAAAGTACTATAAAAATTTAAAAAGTATTATACGAAAAGTTACTAAATTTTGTAATAAAAATTTGTTAAAAATTTTTCAGTTTCTTAACTTTATTGTGTTTAGTAAGAAATTGATATAAAAAAAATAAAAAAAGTTGTTAAATGAGTTCAATATAAAAATAATTATAGGAAAACTTTTTCCTTGCCAAATAAGTAGGAAAAAAATCTTTATGTGTTGGAGATTGTATCAAGTAAACTAAAAGTTTAAAATGTCACTTTTACATTTATTTCACTTTTATATTTATTTTATTGTAATATAAATGTATGAAAATACATAAATGAGAGATAAAGTTTAAAGAATTTTAAGGGGAAAGTTTACCCCAACAAAACACCCCCTAAAGACGAATTTTCCCAACTAATTCCATCCACCAAATTTTTATTTTTAGCATTTTCATCCTTAATTCTTTATTCATACAATAAAATATACAGATAATATGAAATATGAGAAAAAATAAAGATTAATTGAATACAAAATTGTTCACTATTATAATTAATTTTACAAAGTATTTGTTCGTTATATCCTTTTACTTTTTGCTATTTTGTTCATTAATGTATCCTTTGCTCAATATATGTTTATTTAAGTCCTTTAATTGATGGTGTTTATACTACGTCATTAACTAGTGTTAATGTATTCATAAAGGCTAACATGTATTATTTAAAATAATTTTGTTCATTAATATTCTTCTACTTAATATATATCTATTGATAAAGGCTAATATGGTTACTAGCAAAACTTGCTGTCATAGCTATTAATATACTTGAAGGTATCTTTTCAGTTTATCACTCTTTTAATGTGGGTAATTATGGGGGGAGTGGGAGGAATGCATTTTGTTCATTAATATCTTTCTACTCAATATATTTTTATATATTTTTTATCCTTTCATTGATGTCACATGTCTAATGGAGAAGAAAACACTGATCTTCTATTCTAGGCAGGTTTGGACAATGGAGGAATTGGAGTACTTGAAAGACCTCTTGAACTCCTTATTTGTACTCTTTAAAGAAGGCTTGCAGTCCAAACATTATTAGAATAAAACTATTCCCTACTTGACTTTCAAGGAATTATTTGCTGCCCTGCATTCTTTACGTGCTTAATTAAGTGTAACCTTTTTAGTTTAGGGGCTTAAAAACTACATCCCTGTAAGTTTAGGCAGCTCAAACTATAATTTAGCTAGTATACTATTGTTGAGATTGGACAAGTAATGTCGAAAAAATCTTCAACATCTATTGCTTGGCTTTGCTTCTTATATTCGAGTTGAAATCAATTAATTTTCAAAAGAAAAATGATTGGCATAAGTTTAATTTGGTATATATTTTGATTTTTTTATTTAATCATTAAAAATATAATATAAATGTAATTAATTTAGTTAATTTTTATATTATATATGTGACTGTATTTTTCAATTTACATATTTAAATTAAAAAAAATAATTTTTTTAATAAATATATTATAAAATATATTATATCAAAATGTATATTCAATAGTAATGGCCTTTTTAAAATTATCTTCATAGTTCATACCGTAAAAGTTTATCTATATACTCTATATGGTTAGTAAATATAATCACCGAGCCACTTCATCAGTTCATACTTTTGACAATTACGTGAAAAGACAACGATAATAATTACTACCTTACAAGACTCCATAATTTCACAAAGCATGGTACAGACCGATGTTACATGGACCTTTCACTTTATTCTTAAAAACTAGTATCAGCACTTCTCGAACGTCACAAGTCCTATAGACAATATACAAGTACCCCAAAATATAATAATTAAGAAAACTACAAAATAAAAACTTAATACACACAAAGCAAACACTTCATTTCCAGTCCATGTAACATAGGTCTAGGGAATGTAAGATTAGCAGTTGTATGCACAAAAGCACTGCTTTGGAACAGAGGGTGCAGTGTATAGGTCACAGAGTCCCCTTCCATTGTATTGATTCTTGCAATCTTCCCAGCATCTATCATCTCCTTTACAATTCCAAACTTTGTGGCAGTCTTTAGCCACAATCTTAGGAATCATTCCTTCACCTGTAAACTCACAAAAATAAATAAATAAATAAATAAACAAATAAAAGAAGAAGGAAACTTCTTAAATCACTTGTTAATTTAAAGAAGATTAAAAAAAAAAAATACCAAGGTTAAAAGGCCTTTTCAGTCCCTAGACTTTGAGATCTTAAGCTAAACTAGTCCCTTTCTGGCACTCAGCTATTTAATTTGGTACCAAAATGGTCTATTTGTTAACAATGAAATGACATGACACGTTAACATTAACAGAAATTTGAAACCAAAATGGCCTCTGATTTGGCACTAAATTTCACAAGGTATGGTACTTATTTTAATACCTTTTCAATTTTGTAATTTTAAATAGTTTCAAAATTATTTCATCCTCAACCTGGTTGGATGATTCTAATTGACCTTCTCCAACTCCTATTCATTTTTTTAACTTTCTTGATTTTCTTCGTCAATAACTCATATTCCTTTTTCAATATGGAGGATTGACTTTTTTTTTTTTTTTCTTCTATCATATTTGAAGTTGGTAACAAAAATATAACAAAAAAGTTAAGAGACTATTTTGGTACAAAGGGACAAGGTTGAGGGACCAATAAGGTATTTAAACCAAAGAACAATTATGTTTCCAAGTAAACAAACAGAGAATTTCTATACTTTTAACTAAGATGGAGTAACAAGATAGGTAGACTCACCAGAGAAGAAGACAAGAAGGGCAAGCAGGAGGAAGAGAGTGGAAGGTTTTACCATCTTTAAGGAAATTATATAAGCTAGCTAGCTCAAGTGCTTTATGTGTCTTCTTGATAAGGCTTTTGCAGACAGTGCTATTTATAAGACAGGAAGAACCTTCCTTTTGTTTTTTTAATTCCAAAATGATTAAATATAGAGCTCATGGTGTGATGCAAAACTCCATAGATCATCCAATGTAACTTGAGAATTATTAATTAAGGAAATATTTAAAGGATTGGCCTTGTTGGTAAGGGCCGGGTTCCCTCTTACTTTATTAATGGGGTTTTGATTTGTGGAGGATGTCACAAGAAATTAACTTCTATAAATTCTTGAGTCTGGACATGGATAATTTATCCGGAATAAAAAAATAAAGTGAAGTCTCTATTTGTAAACATCGATCTAAAATATCACCAAACCATGCACACCAAGGGGAGATTAAGCAATCAAATTAACCGGATCAATATGCCTCATTTTATTAAAGTTAATTTTAAAGAATCCCTATTATATTTTTCCATTCTGAGCAAGTGCCATTATATTGGCTAATAATTCAGGCTTAGTAAGCCTCCATTATCACATTGTGTCACCCATTCTGAGTGCAATACCATTCTGGCATTCTGGAAACTCGAGAAACTTTTTAGTTAATGGGGAGTGTTGAAAATTCTAGCTTAAGTAAGTTAGCAAAAAAGAAAAGAATAAAGTTAGACTTATTTGGTTTAATTCCATCCTTTTAAAGATAGATTTGCATGGGAAAGTTTTTGAGAAAGTTAGTTAGAAAAGTTGTTAAACTTTTGTAATCAAAATTTATTAGAATTTTTAATATTTTTTGTTAGGAGAGAAATTTGTATCTTAGTTTTCAAGAAAGTTGTGTCTAAGTGTTTTTAAGTAAAAGAGTAGAGAAAACCTCTTAAAAATGTATGACGTTCATTGGATGTTTTCTAACAACAAAAATTAGATAAAACCTAACTTTACCCTCTATTTATTATAATAATAAGATGTGTATGCAAAAATAGCTTTAAACTTTGTTTTGCAAGGGAAATTTACCGCTCGCACCCAAATAACACCTTCAAATAAGCTTCAATAAATGCTAACTTGACCATATTAGGATTTGGAATTGTATGTATTTAGATAGGTTTAAGACTCATGTTGACCCTATCCTCATCTTCATTGATTTTATGTTTGGCAAGAATCATGCTTGTTTGTATTTTTCTCTTCCTTTTTTTTTTTTTCTTTCTTCTTTCTCCATGGAAGGATTGGCTGCAACTTACTCCAAGAAGTTTTGATTGGGAGAATGGTCTATTTTTTCTCTTATTGACTAAGATTGGATTCTAAAGAAGCTTATGAGAAGAATTTTCTTTCTCTTTTGACAGGAATGTTCTGATTTAGTAAGATTGTTTCCGTACAATGTGAATATTGCTACTAATTCAAAGTAAGAGTCATAATGGATGCTTGCCTAAAGTGGGAACTTAAAAGGGTCAAAGAGGAGAGTGAACAACTTACATTTGGATTGCTTGGGTTTTTAGTTTTTGTTGTCGAAAATTTAACAGAATTAATTTAAAATAAAAGAAAATTCTGTAGATTACAAAAATAATTTTAGTTAGGAATTTTATAAATTTGTTAATTTTAGTTTCAAATTTTGACTTGCAATTCAATTTAGTTTTTTAGTAATAGATCCTTAATAGATTTATCGATTGGAAAATAAATGTGATTAATTTACAATATTTTATACAATGTAATGTGGCATTATACGAATTGATTTAATGATTGATCTACATATTTATGTGGCATTATACAAATTCATTTAATGATTGGTTTATATATTTAGTGTAATATATGAATTAATACATAAAAAAAATAGACTCTAAGTTTTAAGTTTTTAGTTTCAATTTTTATAAATTTTATAACTCTAAACAAAAATACTTATTTACTTTAGGTGTTTTTATAACATATTATCATTATTATTAAAGAAACAAGAAGACAAATAGTTTTAAAAGATTTGTGTTTAGTCTCATAAAAATAAAAATAAAAATAATAAAAAGGAGAGAGATTAGTGTTTAGCCTAAATTCTAAAAAAATTAAAAGAAAAAATATTTTAAAACTATATCGTTTCAATAAAATATAATGAAAAAAAATCAAAATAATTACATTACCAATAAACACTTTTTCTTAGTTTTAATACTATTAAATAAATTTATATTTTTTATTAATAGTGTTAAAACGTATTTTTTATGATCAATGTTAAAACTTATCTTAAACAAATGATTAAACTAATCTGCAATCTTACAATAGTGGTTAAAAACACATTTTCATCATTAATTTGTATATTTGTATAAAAAAAATATAAAAACTGAAGTTAATTTTGATTTCGTTGCCACCTAGATGAGCTTAATTAGGGAGTTGCTAAATTAAAAATTAACATTTGTTCTTCCAATATAAATTTATTAATGAGAAAATATATTTATTACACTCTTAACATGTAACCTAAAACCCCTTAAACAAATTGATATTTTTTTCTAGTTTGAATTTCATGAAAATCAAAACTAAAAACCAAAACCCATAAACATTCTAAACGGAGCCTAAATTGACTATAATTTAATTGGAATAATCTACAAAAGTTCGAAGGCCCAAAAAAAAAAAAAATCTACTCAAGTTTGAGAAGAATTCACTTTGTAATTAGTATAACATAATAATAACATTTAGATTGGAATAAGTAGGTAGAGAACTAAAGATTTATTTTTGATTTTATAATCCAATCAACATGTGAAGAAGAGTCATCAACAAGAAATGCACAAATTCAGATTGCCACCTCAGTTTGACAGTTTGTCTTTTACCTGTCTTCCACAAACAAACTCATTGAACATAGAACGAACCAAGACACCCAACTAGTTGTCACCTGCAACTGCTCAAATATTCTGCCACACTTGGGTGTCTCTTTAAAGCTAAGGGTGTGGGACTCTAATCCATTATATTTTGGATTTCCTTAATCCTTGCCACAGCACCTTCACAATAAAGCATCACAAGGCAAACAACGTCAATTAATTAAATAAAAAAGGTTATGAGTATTCTTTAATCCAGGTATCCTAGTATTTTTTAGATATCAGCATCCACTCAGAAGGAGCTGCTTTATTTCTAGATCTGCAATTTATTTTTTTGATCAGCCTTTCTAGATCTGCATTTCATTTCTTGTAGAAGAAGATGCATTAAATTAGTGAACATGTTGATAAGATCGCATTCAACAGAAGAAATATATGGTGCAACTTTAGAAAAAGTCCATCTTTGCATCAAGACCTAACGCAATTACCTAAAAGGTTGTGGAAAAAATAGAAAGCAGCCAATCTCATTCATTTTGTTGAACTTGAAGAAAGTTAGTGCAATTCCAGAGCAGTATATCATGCTCATAAGTTCACCCCAGTCAAATAGTCAGTCCACTTAACTCAAGGAAACTTCCGGATAATAGTTAACTCTCAAATCTCATTCAATGAACTCTGGATAAGAGAAATTGTTCTAGAAAAAAGAAGCCAACAAGAGTACCTTTTGTATCTTTTCTGGGAACCACACGGACAAGGTGCATTTCTGCTGATCTGGCCACTCTTAGCTAAGTTAGA